CCAATCCACTGAAAGAAATCCCTTTACTCGGCAGGGGATTTTTCTTTGGATCCAGCCCCATGGTCTTAGCGCTCCTTTCCCTTTGTTAAGGTATTTTAGAAAGGTCCTTGTCTGAGAATGCCAACCTTTAGAAATTTAATGGCTACTACAGAGGTGGCGTTCTTTGTGGTGCCATCCTAACTGTGGAGCTCCCTTTTTAAGCCTCCTGGTGCCTAAATTATCATATTTTAGGCACCTGGAGGTTATGTCCTTGTTTGCACGTGCTTTTAATCACATGCAAATTACATTTCTACTACCGTTAAAATCTTGGATTTTATTGTTTGAATTCTTGCTGTTTATGACTCTGGTTGCGAATACAGTAGAGGCAATACAATATTGTTTGAATTTAAAAAAAAAATAGTTGGTTGCAAGTTGGGACCTGTGAGCAGCTCTTTGGGTGGGGGAATTCCTGGATCCCTCTAAGCCGTGGAGTCTTGTGAGCAAAAATTCTACTTTGTGAGCTACTGGCCACTGTTCCCTGCTTCCTCCTGCAACTTCTTTTTGTGACTCCCTCACTACCTTTCTCCACTTCCCTGCCCCACCCTTCTCCCTTCCCTCATTTGTCCCCCACTGCATTTCCCATTTCTGCCTTGCCTGCCTACTCACTTGCAGCACTGCAGATGCCTCCCCTGCAGTGGCATCTCAGTCACCTTCTCCACCACCTTTACAGTCACTGTCTCCTCTGCCTGTTTGACTTTCCTGGCAGTGGCACATCCCTGCAGTCCCTGCTATCTTTGCCTACTTATTGGGTTGTTAAGCAGTCCTCAAAATGGCAGCTGAGATCTCATGATCTAGCACTGTCAGTTCTCAGCCTGCCCCTGGTAAGGTTTTTAAAACTTTTAACACCCCCTCTCCCAGGTGTGTAGATACTTTGAGGATGGTTTGATTTGCATTCTAGGGCCATTATTCAGAATTAGATATGTGATACTGTTTTACATTGCTTTTGTATGATTAAACTTTTAAACATTAGCTGTCTTAAGGGCGGAGAATAAATAAATAAATAAATAAAATAAATAAAATAAAGGCGGTATAGAAATTTTCTAAATAAATACATTTTGAAATTCGGTAGCTGGGGAGAATACCTTATCCAAGGTACTGTTGACTGTTATCTATACTAAGCTGCAAAGTTGTTCTAAAGAACCCTAACTTCATTGTGCATGATAATGAGTGGCAAGAAAAATACACCACATGTAGTAATAGAATGATCTGAGCAAACTTGTGGTAGAGAAACTAACAATTTTGTGTGCTGGTCATATCCATTTGTCCTGTGTATGATTTATTATTTTTTATGTTCATATGCTACTTTTCAGTCCATCCATGGGTCCCAAGTCACATGCTAAAAGATTGCTTGGGTGAAGGCAGAAATTGCGCTGCTGTGATTTAAAAAAATTACTTAAATACTTATTTGGTGAAGAGAACGAGATAATCAATAAACAGGGTAATTACACCATCCTGCGTCTATTGAAGTCAGTGGGTTTAGAAGGGTGTAACACTTTTAGGATGGCACTGTAATTCTGCTAGTTTGGTGAAAATAAATGTTGCTAGGAATGAGCCCGTACTACTAATTAGTTTTGCTAAAATCCTCTTCGTTGCCTTGGGAAACTCAGTAAGTTCTATTGAGTTTACCTGGCTAACATAGTTGGAAATACTTAAAATCTTAAATGAGCTATAAAATATCTCTCTCCTTTTACTTGCTTCTGCAGACTTAGAGAGATTTGTCCCCCATTCATCAGTTAAGCAGATCACTATAGAGCAAAGTTTGTAGAAAAATGACTGTCTTATTGCATTGTGTAGCTTAATCTTTGCTGCATATTTCTCTATAATGCAGCTGCTGTGCTTGGCCAGAGGAAACTGCATTTATGTAGCATGTCAAAGAATGGACTAATAAGCACTCTTTGGCATAATTTAGAATAGTCTCTTGTGGGACAGTGGGATAATTATGCCCCAGTCATCTTTCTTTTGTTAGGAATGTACCTCTTTTGGACTGCACAGAAGTTAATATGTGACTACTTTGAGATGATGCACATTGATTGCTTCAAGGAATATGCTTAAGAAACATTACTGATTTGAAGTAACCCTGCCTCGTTCATGTAGAACAGTGATCCCCAGCGTGGTTCCTGTGGGTGCTATGGCACCTGCCAGTACCTTTCCTGGTACCTGCAAAGTGTTTTTAGAAAGTGGGTGGGGCCAGGTGGGGCTCTTGCCCAGCAGGGCTTCTGAGTGACTGTGCACATTTTTAAAAAACATTGCTTTGGCAGCAATTGCCATCACAGCACAAGGATCTTCATTGTGTGGCTGAAGGTGACATTAGCCGGAGCCGTGCTGACGCGAATCCGTGCACCAGATGGGCCCGCCAGAAATAAAGCCACCAAAAAAGGGAAGACCTATCCCTGGCTGCCAGGACGGAAGCATCGACCCGAAGGCCGCCGGAAGGAGCCGAGCCGGAAAAACAGCGAGCCCCACCACCTGGGTGCCAGTAGGCAGCCCCCCGCCCCTGCACTATGTGGCCGTAGATAGGGAAAGCAGACCTAGACTCCTATGTAAACCTCCCAGAGACCCTTCGGGGTCAGGGCGGTATATAAGCCGAATGTATAAATAAATAAATAAATAAGGTAGGCTGCAGCAGCCATTTTGTAGCTGGCTCCACCTCCTGCAGAAACTGTTTGGTGGCAGTTGCTTTGTGGCTGTGCCCACCACACTGTGACAGAATTCCAAAGGTACCCACAGGTTCAAAAAGGTTGGGGACCCATTATCTAGAACACGAGCTTGTGGATATGGTCTTCCATTCTTTGTGTCTTTATGCTGAATATATTTAATTGCTAATTCAACATTGTTTAATTTTTCTAATATGAAATGGTTAGTCTTAGATGCTCAAATTCTTAAAACTGGCAAATATTAAGGTTGATTTTATTATCTACCTCGAGTATTGTGTTGGCCCATGCCATTAAGAAAAATGTTTCTGATAGGAAGTCGTAATATGAACCTGACTGTGAAACCATTCTGGCTTCAGTGCTGGCACAGCTGCCAGTCAGAAGGACTTTTTTTTTTTTTTTTACCATTTATAGATAAATGTATAGCTAATATGTTATATTCCTGAAGTTCAGATCAACTTTGGAATGGTTTTTTTCACAGTTTCACTGTAATTATAGATAACACTTGACAGCACACACAAATAGGAGAGAGGTGACTGATTATTTGCCTAAAGTATGTTGCAAATGTTTGAGAATTTCTTTGCATACAAAGTGTGCATGACCTTGCTTTGCTGATACCTTCCCATTGCCATCACTGATGAAACGAAGCCCAGATGATGATGTCGTATCATGTACACTTTGTATTAGGTGTTACAAGAAAAAGGTGTTTCCAGAGATGGATCAAATAAACTAGGCTGTTTATTACAGTTATGCTTAGGGCTCTTGTATCCTGTAATTTAGCTCAGTGGGTGGTTTGAGCAATATGTTGGGTAGCCACTTCTGATTAGCAGCTACACATACTGTGAGAACATGACAAAGGTATTCCCTACTTGAGCAGTTACATAGTGGGCAATTGCAACAACTGTGGTTCAATACCTGAACTATATACAGATGTAGTCACTATTCAACTACATTTTTATAAATAGCATTTTGATTTTAAATAATTATTTCCTTACTGTTATGGTCCCCCTCCCCCCAACCATGTTGGTATTTAAGAGCATGTTTTGGGGTAATAGTTAAAATACAACTATTTGATGTTGTTTTTCTGGCTTTTAGCCAGAAAGAATGGCCTCAGACTTGCTGTGAGCAAGTTTGTTGACTGAATGTTCAGGCAATATAACTCTTGTTTTGTTGAACATGTGATCAACAAAATAACTTTGGAGGCTGGAGGGAATTAGGTTTACTGCTGGATGCACTTTGAAGAACAAGTTGGAAAAAATATAAAAAATAAAACTCCAGCAACTGGCTAGCTTACTTTTTTTTTCTTAAGTTGCTTTAGAAATATGGTGAGATGCTATATCTTAAGAGTGAAGAAATAATGTGGAGACGCCTTACCTCCCCCCCCCCTGAAATTGCAGCCCAGGTTGAGCTCTGGTACTTTTTGTTTATCCCAGGGAATGTGTATTCGTAATTGATATTAGTATATATGCTGATGCTAATGTTTCTTTAAATGCTGCAATATACAAGATGATTACCATCTTGATCTTTGTAGGTATATTTAGGGCTCTTGGTGGGGGAGAATGACTTGTATTCATTGGAAATTTCTGTAGAAGGAAGGGATTTTTGTCCATGGAGCAGGACTTCCCCACCTCTCTCCTCTCACTGCAGCCCAAATTATCTCCTGAAATTGTTCTCCTGGGGGAAGCAGAGCAAAGGGAAGGGGGTATTTGTAAAAATCCTCTTTTGTCCATAGAAATCCTCTGTGGTGCCCAAGCACCTGGGTATGCTTTATGGAAGGAGCTGGGGAGTAGGATTGGTGTGGTCTGTAACCCTGTAACCATGATACAAATATGTCTTTTCAGAAATAAAAACTGATTTTTTTTCTTGTGTCTGTCATTTGTATATATGGAATGAGGATCGTTTGTGTGAGAATGGTTTGTTAGAAGTAACTAGCTCAGACTTGTCTCTAGGTATGTGTGTGTATATATTTATTTTATTTAATTTAAAACATTTATATTCTACCTCCTCTTGTCAGACACAAGATGACTAACAATACGTGGTTACATATTAGACATCCTTTATGTTTCAGCTGTTTTCAGTGACCTGCTTTTAAACTTTATTTTCCACTTGAATAATCTTGTGTCTATTTTGGATGTTACAGTCAGTTTGCTTATAAATATTACCAGCCAGTACTTAGATATGAATACGTTTTTTCCTCTTTAAGGGCAAGTGTCATGATTGTTAGATAACTGTTATGATATTAAGGACATGCTCTGCTTTCATGCTTAGAGTCTTGTTGAGATGATTACTGATTTAATGTCTCCCTTGCAGGTATTGCTTCTATGACAGTTCCAGTATACATTGCAGAAGTTGCTCCACCCCATCTGAGAGGCAGATTAGTTACTATAAATGCACTCTTCATCACAGGTGGCCAGTTTTTTGCGAGTGTGATAGATGGAGCCTTCAGTTACCTTCCAAAAAATGGATGGAGGTTGGTATGATTTTTTTTAACATTTAAAGCTACAAATGAAGTTGCCATAACAAATTGCGTAATAGTCTTCTTAGTGGCAGTTTCTTTTGCAGAGTCGAACTGTGAAAGTTTAGCTCCCCCTTTTGAATAGCTGCAACAAGGAAGAAAGATTCCAAGGGCATAGCAGAAATCCCACTCAAATATATTTATACAAGAACCAGCCCATGAACATTTCAAATATTTTATAAGTTGTTTTATAACTTTTTTAAAAAAATTGTGATTTAGAATCTTATCTCCTTTTGTGATTTTGGCAGTTCAGTCTGTCTGAATAGTTACTGTATGTTTTGGGCATATCCATTTAAAATATATTCATGGGCTGAACAAAGAAAAATACTATCTTGGGACACCGGCTTATGTATTTCCCTGCTGTATTTCCCACCCCCACCCCCAAACAAGTGCCCTTGAACAGGTGCCCCTGAAGAAGTGCATGGGGATATTTCATGGGGAGGCTGTAGTGAAAAGGAGAAACTGAAAATTATCTCCCTCATGTAAGCAGAAGATCATGTTTAGATTCAAGTGCACATAGTATTCTTTGTGGATCCTAGCTGGACAAAGACAAAACCATGGCTACTAGTGTCATGATTTAAAACCAGCTTTATTAGGCACAATATCACAACATTCCAGCAACAACAAATAACACACTGTATGTGCTTTAGTTGGTTATATTACCTCATCCATGTTCATATGGTGCCTGCTGAGAGATGCTGAGCAGCCCAGCCATTCAGTTCCGTGGCAGCAACTGTGTTGTTCAGGTTTCTCAGGAACAGTAGAAGGAAGCAGATACCCACAGTTGCTCCTGTGGTGTTAGAGGAGATTCTGTCAGGTATCCACCTGAGCTTTAAGGATTGCTTCTGTCTGAGATTTCTCCACTTTTGGCCGCTATGAGCTTGAATGAGCTGAAATGTCCATTTTCAAAGGGATCCCTATTGGAGATCAGTTGTGACAGGGATACATGAATAGAGCTTAAGGAGGGCTTAGCAATTTCTGGTTTTTCTTCTTCCTGCTTATTTTGCTTTGTCTTCTTCCTGCTTATTTTGCATGTTGTTTCAAGCTATGAGGTTTATTTTCTGCATTCCCCCAATTATTCAGGTTGCATGTGCTTTTTCCCTCTTCCTAGGCAGCCTATGTAGAAAGTGTTCCCTATAGATGCTTTGGATGGTACACCACAAAATTATGTAAATGGTGTCTTGCTTCATGTGAGTGCCTTTTCCCCACCAGTCAGTGATCTTGTTGCTGAGGTTTACACTAATTGAAATTTTCAATTAGTGTTTAAGGGTGCAGTTCCTGGAGAATGTAATAGTCCAGCATACATGTCATTAGAGCGTAGAGAACTGTGAGGAGGTCTCAGCTATTGAAAAAGACTCCAGCTGGTTCAGTAGCTGTAAGCGAGCAAAACAACTAAAAGTCACAGAACAGACTCAGATGTCTATCTGTAAGTACAGTTCTAATAGCTCTCTCAAGCTTAGAATTTGCCTCCTCCAAACAGTCTGACTTCAGAGTTCTTTGGCCATATTGATAACAAAAAGTACCTCCTTCTGGTCTGTTGAGCTTCAGTTTATTTGACTGCTTCTATTCCATTACTGCTTCTATACAGTTTTTTGGAACTTACATTGTCAAATCTGACTCATCTGAAAAGGAGAAGCGTTGAGCATTCTTAGGAGATTTTATTCAATAACTCTCGATTATAGTTTCAGGGCCCCACAGCATAAGAGTCAGCTGATTAAGCAGCTATCTGCTTGCATCACATTCTGGAATTTATTAGACGGCACTAGAATCACTGGTGCATGGTGCTCTGATATCCAGCTGAATCAGTTGGCTCAGAAGGATATCATGGTTGATAGTACTGTAAGGTGTTGGGAGGTCTATTATTTATTTATTTATTTATTTATTATTTTGACTTTTACCCCGCCCTCCCCGCCAAAGCAGGCTCAGGGTGACTCACATAAAACCAGTAAAACAATATATATTCAATACAAAAATATCTAAAACACTGCATAATACAATTTAAAACCGTTATTATCGATGACGGTTCTCTGAGTAAAGTGCGTTCACATGCTGTCAACTGTACTACTGCTCTGAAAAGCTTCAGCTCTAGGTTGGCCCAGAGGTTATCGGAAGGCCTGTTGGAAAATCTCCGTTGTCACGGCCCTGCGGAACTGTCAGAGGTCCCGCAGAGCCCTGATCTCACCAGGGAGCTCATTCCAGTAAGCCGGTGCTACTAAAGAAAACGCCCTGGTCCTAGTTGATGTCAATCTGGCTTCCTTTGGACCAGGGAGGGCCAGGTGGTTTTGGAGTCCTGATCGAAGTGCTCTCTGGGGAACATGCGGGGAAATGCAGTCCCTCAGGTAGACAGGCCCCTGACCATAAAGGGCTTTAAAGCTCAAAACCAGCACCTTGAAGCAAATTCGGAACACTATTGGCAGCCAGTGCAATGCCTTTAGCACAGGCTGGATGCGTTCCCGCATAGTGAGACCCATCAACAGCCTAGCCACCGCATTTTGCACCAGCTGCAGGTTCTAGAGTCTAAGGACATCGACTTAGCCTTTCAGTCTCCTGATGAGTGTTGTGACCCAGGCAATGATTGTCATAGAGAATGATTTTCATCGAAGAGAACCTGGATTTGTGTAGGTACCGTTCGCTTGAGTACCTGTTCCAAGAAGTGGATGTTTGCCACACAGGCTTATTAGGCTTAGGAATGCTTCTTTAGAAGGAAAGGCACTGAAGGCCTTCCCATTTCCTTTTAAGTAAGCATTTATTTCGGCAGGGAAATCACCTTTAGTTAGATATTGTTATAAGTCATATGGGCAAGGGTAGAGTATAGAGGTAATAGATTTTTCTGTGGCTGTCTGCATTCTTGGTCCCTCAGAACTGAAGCTGGATCAGAAAGACTATGGAATTAATTTTTTATTGGGAGGGGCTCAGTGGTAGAGAATTTGCTTTAGGTGCAGAAGGTCCCAGGTTCCATCCTCAGTATCTGCAGTTAAAAGAGTTAGGTATGAGTTGGGGACCCCTGTTCTAACACATCCCACTAACAACAGTTATAGGTGAGTTCAACTTGTTTTTCTTTTTCGTGTTTTCTTGTTCTACTCTTACTAATGTTGAACGTTACAAATTCTGAGTTCTCCCATCCCCGGCCTGAGGGATGTCCGCTTAGCCTCAACCAAGGCAAGGGCTTTTTTGGCCCTTGTCCCAACCTGGTGGAACATGCTCTCACCCAAGATCAGGGCCCTGTGGGACCTATTACAGTTCTGCAGAGCCTGTAAAGTGGCAACCAGGCTTTTGGCTGAGGCAGCCCTGCTGCTTTAGGTAACATTACTTGAACACTGGAGCTTTTTATTCACCTGGTATGAGGCATGCCCTTTCTGTTCTTGTTTATCGTGCGCTACAGACGGCCTGGGTACCAGTGATAGGTGTTTGCCAACCCCCAGGACTATTGCAGCCAAACCAACAGTTTCAGCCACTCTCCAGCAGGCAGTAGTAATTCCAGCCTTATATAGTACCACACTACTCAGTTCTGTGGTGAACTATATACAGTTTATTTACAGAATATACAGAATATACTACACTCGGACAGAGTGCTTCGCCAGACGCCATAAATTTCAAAGAGGATACCCTGGTCTGCACTTGTCCACTTATATACATAATTACATCCAATCAGCTTAGAGCTGAGTCATGCCTGTGGCCTCACACCATATCTGGACTAAACCGGCCAAGACAGGCTTCTAGCAGTCTCACTGCTGACACTCAGATCATACTGATCTGACAGCTCATCTGACAGCTCATATTAATAGTTCAACAGTAAAGTGGCAACCAGGCTTTTGGCTGAGGCAGCCCTGCTGCTTTAGGTAACATTACTTGAACACTGGAGCTTTTTATTCACCTGGTATGAGGCATGCCCTTTCTGTTCTTGTTTATCGTGCCATTTGTTGTTTTATTGGTTTTATCGCTTTTATTGTTTCACGAATATTATGTTGTGAGCTGCCCTGAGCCCACTTGTGGGATAGGGTGGGGTATAAATTAAATAATCATCATCATTTTATTATTCAGACAAATACATCAGGAAATGGCTGCGGCTGTAAACTCTTGCTGGTTTTACTGCGAAGAGAATTTTGTAAATCTGCATTAGAGCCTTTTCCTTCTCTCCTCCAGGTACATGTTAGGCCTTTCAGCCATTCCAGCTGTAATACAATTTCTTGGCTTCCTCTTTCTTCCTGAAAGTCCCCGCTGGCTTATTCAGAAAGGGCAAACTCAAAAGGCACGTAGAATTCTTTCTCGGATGCGAGGTAACCAAACAATAGATGAAGAATATGATAGTATCAAGAATAACATTGAAGAGGAAGAAAAAGAAGTTGGTTCAGGTAAGGCTGAATTGTTTTTATTATGATTATTAACAAGGAGCAGATTAAGACCAGCTTTGTAGCAGCTGTTTCTTGGATTGCTTGTTACAAGATTCAGATTGAATGAACATTTGATTGAAGGGAGCTGCCAGAGTTTTATCATATAGTAACTACCGACATAATCCTATATGTGTTCACTCAGTCATGAATCCCACTGTATGTAATGGGGCTTACTCCCAGGTAACATACACTGAATTGCAACTGGAGACATGAAAGCACAGTAGACTGCATACCCAAAAGTTTGCTTGTGATGTTTAAAAAAAATGGTCTAAAGAAAAAAAAAATGATGCTTAGCCTTCAGTTCTTTTGTTTAAATAAAAATGTATGCATTGGGAGTGTTTTCCAGAGTTCATTATGTGCTTGGTAGAGGAGCTTTTAACATAAACATTTCTGGCTGTATTGGGAGAGGTATTTGCTAGAAGTGTGGCTTACTCTTTGTTAGACATGCTGTGATGGACTATCAAGGGTTAATCCCCCACAGAGTTTGAAAACCTTTGAGTGACAGGCAGTTCATACAGAATTCCATGGAGAGCGTCAGTTAACAAATGACAGTTGGGAACTGGAAGAACAGACAGTTTGGCACTGACTGAGGACTGGGAAAGAGGCAAGGAAGGAGTGGCCTGGATCAATAAGGATCCCCATTCAAGGCGAAAAGGGAAGTTAAGAGAAGTAATCCCTGCCCAGTGAAAAGGGACATAGCTCTTGAAAGAGGACCGATCCCTGGTCTGTGTGTGAAGAAGGATTTTGGGAACTTGGTTGTAGATTCCTGCCTTCTAAATGTGAAGTTTCACTGAAACTCGGGAACCTATGCTTGTGAGTTAAAGCAGAAACTGAAAAGAAAGCCTCTCTCCTCAAAGTTTCAAAGACCTTGTGGGAAAGCAAAAACACTTGTTGGCAACATAATATCTGGAGTTGGTGTGATTACAAAGTTACCTCAGTTTTTATCGTCTATTTTACTTCATATATTCTACCTCTGATTCCACCTGACCTTTTCCCCTCCAAGTTAAATAAAATATTTTATTTTAAACCTCTAGAAGCCTCTTGTGTGCCATTTCAGAAGATAAGAAGGTGATTTTGTCTCTTCCCTCAAGTCCCTGTGCTGGGCCAGCATTAAAATATATAATAATGTGACAGGGTGGGACAGCCATAAACCAATAAATAAGAAGAAAATAGATACAGAGGCTGCTCAGCAAGAAAGAAAAAGCAAAGGGAAAATCCTCTGTGTGAGGGAGGAAACAGGGTGAGATTGCCATATGTGCATTTTAATTGAAGAGCGAACAAAGTATTGTGTGGAGAAAATGATCATTTTGCACATTGTTGCCTGAATAGCTGCACATGGTGACATGATATGCAAAGTTACCTCATTTGATTTTGGGTTTAACATATGACAGAGGGAATTGTCTTAAGAAAACTTTGTAGCTTCTCTGAGGCATTCACAGATTACAATTAATTGTTTGAAACCCCAGGGTACTTGTGTTCTGTATTTTTTCTTGTTTTTTTTTAACCCCATCATGGCTGCAAATACATTTCAAAATGTTTTGACTTAATGCATCATATGAAGGTCAGAAAAGGTTTAAATGTAGGTGGATTGATTAATCTGTACCTGTCTTTTCTTTCAAAAAGCTCTCTAAATGACATATTTCAAACCCCTATCGTTCAACTTAATTTAGATGACACTTGGTCTCACGTTCAGTCTTTGATTTATAGTCTGGTGTTCTGGTAATTTCAATAACACAATAAATTGAACCCCCTCATAAAAAACATGGTAAGATCTATGAATCAAGGTAAGCTAGATGTGGTCAAAAATGAATTAGAAGACTGAACATCAACATCTTGGGAATAAGTGAACTAAAGTGGACAGGAATGGGCAACTCAGAAGACTAATATATCTACTACTGTGGCCAAGAATCCCGTAGAAAAAATTGGGTGGCCTTTAGTCAACAAGACAGTGAAAAAGGCAGTAATGGGATAGAGTCTCAAAAATGACAGAATGATCTCAGTCCAAATCAAAGGCAAACCATTCAACATCACAGTAATCCAAGTCTATGTCACAACCACTGATGCAGAGAAGGCTGAAGTGGAACAGTTCTATGAAGACTTATAACACCTCCTTGAACTAACACCAAAAAAAGGGATGTCCTTCTCATCGTAGGGGACTGGAATGCTCAAGTAGGAAGTCAAAAGGTAACCGGAATAATGGACAAGTTTGGCCTTGGAGAATAAAATGAAGCCAGGCAAAGGCTAACATAGTTTTGTCAAGAGAACACACCGGTCATAGCAAACACCCTCTTCCAACAACCTACACATAGACATCACCAGATGGGCAACACAGAAATCAGATTGATTATATCATTTGCAGTCAAAGATGGAGAAGCTCTATGCAATCAGTAAAAACAAGACCTGGAGCTGACTGTGGCTCAGATCATGAGCTACTTATTGCAAAATTCAGGCTTAAACTGAAGAAAGTTGGGAAAACCACTAGGCCATTCAGGTTTGATCACATCCCTTATGAATATACAGTGGAGGTGAAGAACAGATTTAAGGGACTAGATTTGATAGAGTGCCTGAATAACTATGGATGGAGGTTCATGACATTATACAGGAGGCAGCAATCAGCACCATCCCAAAGAAAAACAAATGCAAGAAAGTGAAGTGGCTGCCTGATGAGGCTTTACAAATAGCAGAGGAAAGAGGGAAAGCGAAAGTCAAAGGTGAAAAGGAGAGATTTACACAGAACAGCAAGGAGATATAAGGAGGACTTCTTGAATGAACAATGCAAAGTAATAGAGGAAAACAATAGAATGAGGAGGACTTCGAGATTTTTTCAAGAAAGTTGGAGAAATCAAGGGAACGTTTCATGCAGAGTTGGACTGTAAAGAAGGCTGAGCACTGAAGAATAGATGCTTTCGAATTATGGTGCTGGAGAGGACTCCTGAGAGTCCCTTGGACTGCAAGGAGATCAAATCAGTCTGTCCTAAAGAAAATCAACCCTGACTGTTTCCTGGAAGGCCAGATACTGAAGCTGAAGCTCAAATCCTTTGGCCACCAAATGAGAAGGGAGCACTCACTGGAGAAGACCCTGATGCTGGAAATGATTGAAAGTAAAAGAAGAAGGGTGAGATGGTTAGACACTGTTATCGATGCAACGAACATGAAATTGAGCAAACTCCGGAGGACAGCGGGAGACAGGAGGGCCTAGAATGATGTGGTCCATGGGGTCACAAAGAGTCGGACTCGACTGTGTGACTGAACAGCAACAACAAGAACAACAACAATAAAAATGTGCAAGAGGTGGTTAATGCCTACAGGGCAGATCAAAAAAGTGGCCTTCACTTTGATCATCCAATGAGATTTATTGCTGTGTAACTGGGCATGATCTACCATGTTCTGTGCATGATCTACCATGTACTGTGAGGAAGCAGTGGGTAACTTGTCTCCTTTTGCAACTTGTTCCTTATAATTTTATTGGTTAAAATATGCAAATATACTTCCGTATTTTAACAGAAAGACATTACTGATGTGAGAATTGCTAATAAGGTTCCAATTTCTGCCAGTTTAAACAGAGAGAGTCTGATTTTTCACTGTCCTGTCAAGATACAGCATTTAAACTAATTAATAAAATCTAGTAAAATTACATTGCTATAATATGCAAATGTCTTACAGAAACGCAATATTCCAAATCTAATGAAGCATGTTTATGGGAATTAATTTTGACCTTTTGATTACATCTGAAAATATTTAGCCATGTAATTTTGGTTATAAATTGATATTAAAAGTAAATTTGATGACCTAGATGGAAAGTGCCCCCAAGTTACAGCCGACTAATGGTGATCTCCTAGGATTTTCAAGGCAAAAGGCATTCTGATGCGGTTTGCCATTACCTGCCTCTTTTCAGTGATCCTTGGTGGTTTCCCATCTTTGTACTCACCAGGGCTGAACCTGCTTAGTTTCTGGGATCTGATGAGAATTGGTCTTATTGAGAAATAAATACTATTTGTTGACTATGAACGCACATTAAAAATCAGTGAAGAAGTAAATGATTACTGGCAATTTACTGCCCTTTGCTTTAAAGCTTGTCAAGCACTGAGAGTCAGTGTAATGATGTGGTTAGCATGTTGGACAGGGATTGAGGATGAGATTTGAATCCCCTCTCTGCCATGGAAGCTTGCTGGATGACCTTGGGCCAGTCACATCCTTTCAGTCTAACATGCCTCACAGGGCTATTTTGAGGATAAAATGGAATTTATATTAGCTGCTTTGGGTCCCCATTGAGGAGAAAGGAGTGGGAAATAAATGGAATAAATAAATACAGAACTGCATGGCTTCAGCATTCTGGTTTTCATTATACCTTATTAATCTTATCAGGAAGAACTCTGTTTACTGCATTTTGGTTTTGAGATCTTTCAACTTTTGTATTTAAATCTGAAATTCTACGATGACATTTTGGTTTGTTGCTTGCTTTATTTGTTAAGCATTTTGTAGTGGGATGTTCCCAGAGTAGTAGAGAATGAAAAGTTTGGTGTGTTGAATTTTCATACATAGCTGATCAGTTGTTTTTTGGGGGGAGGGCCGGCAAATTGTACAGCTGCAGAATTATTTCTATATAAGTTAAGGCAGATAGGATAAACTCCCCCACCTCGGTGTGAGCCTTGTAACAATACTTTAGTTATTAGAGTGCTTATTTATTTATTTATATTTACATTTATACCCCGCCCACCCTGTGAACAGGCTCTGGGCAGCTTATAGGAGATGGCTGACAGGCCGATACAAATAAAACAATAAAAATATTAAAATCCCTTAAAAAACAATCTTAACAATAAAGTGCTCACTACAGCAGAGTAACCTTAAGATGAATGGCGTTGTATCTGCATTCCTTCTGTCTTCAGATCTTAAAATCAGTCCCATGGTCCAGATGTTCGCCGGTGAGGCTCAGAGTGGGCCAGTCCGATATTCCGGATTGA